ATCATCAAGTGTATATGTAAAAGTTACTGGCTATTCTAGTAGTTATTTGGCGTCGACAAGTATGGTATCATCAAGTTTAATTGTCGCAACTGCTGCTTTATCAACAAGTGATGAACGCACAAGTAGTTCGATATCGTCTAGTTCTTCTCAAGCAGATGTGTTTTCATCTTCAAGTAGGGCCTTTACGACAATTTCGTCTTCTGTAAGAGTTGTTGCGTCATCTACAAATGTTCCACTATCGACTATTGTCACTGCTTCAACATTACCTGTTGCAGTAACTGTCACTCCTAGTGTATATGCACCACCCAACATGGTGTCATCGTCAGTGGGAGCTGTTGTTTCGCTTCCTTCAAAAAGTGTTAAGCCTATAACAAGCATGGTATCTTCAGCCTCATCTAAACTAGATATTAGATCATCGAAAGTTGTTGTCTCTTCAAGTCTTTCGTTTGCACCGTCTTCTTCAGTTAGTTCGATTTTTCCTACTACTGTTGTTTCCATGATGAAAGGAAGTTCCTCCGCAGTTCCTACTGTGCCAGGTATGTTGAGGTAATCGGAGTTTTTTTGGTATTCAATATCTACCATACCTGATTGAGATCTTGTTTTCTGCAGCACCTGTCAACGAATGCTTTAACGCGTCTTTAAATAAGTGCAGTATTAATGGAAAGTGCCATGATTTACGTTTTGGTTATAACTGCTCCTGTAACAGTGGATACACTGGGGATGGATATGTCTGCTTAGGTAAATGTAAAATACTAGCTAATTTCCATTTGAAGGCTGTGATAACTATTAATTGATTTTTGTCTTATTTGATATAGATATCAATGAGTGTACCACTGAGCGATGTGGGATCAATGAACGATGTGTGAATCTACCTGGCCTTTACAAATGTGAATGCATTGGAGGCTTCATCAGGCAGTCTAGTGGAGCTCCTTGCATAGGTGATGAAACTCAGCTTCCTTTAACCCAGTTAATTCTTTATAAATCTTTGATCATTGTAATTGTTTCTGTCATTCTTTATGTCTGATCGTGTGAGTATTCTTCTATAGTTTCTTTTTATATCGAGCACTCGAAATGCTTTGAACGWTTTCATAAGCTTAACAACCTGCGTCTACATAGTATTCCATAATCATAACTTTCCATAACTGTTTTCTCCTACTTTTTAGCTGTTTCCACGTTCTCGTCTGGCTTTAAAATTGATCAAGGAAAAGACGCAGTCTTTACTCCGGCATTAAAGAACCAAAGCTCGACAGAATTCAAGAAGCTAGAGAAAAAAGTGTGTRACTCGGTAAGTCACTGGAAAGTTTCSTCATTGAACAGACTTAATAAAATGGAAATGAAATAGCTGCCATTCAATTAACTGAGAAAAATAAGAAATGAGGGAGAGTATTTTAAGTACACAGAAGRAGKGAAAGGTGCGATTGGGGAAGTAGAAGACTGGAGTTGGGGTAAGGGTCGGATTGATGTAATGTTTTATGCAGTTCTATATTTTTAGGTTGATGCATTGTATAAAGCTTCACCACTGGCCGAAAGCTATGTTAGATGTGATGTTTCAGAATTTAGGTAAACGTTAATTACCTTTCAATCACATTTGTCAGTTTTAGCAGATAAAGGCAAAAAGCTAGGTTGGCACAGGGGCGTATTTAGAGGGGGAACATAGGAGGATAACCGTGACTTCCTKTTAAAGCGATATTAATCTAAAAAAAAAATTAGAAATCTGACCGTTCAACGTGAGGTTTCGTTAGACTTCTACCGTTCATTAACATTCGGCCTGATTTAGTTTTACCTCTAGTTAAGTAATGACTGGCATCTCTTAAAGTCTGGATTACCAAATAAAGTTCTTTTTTCTAAGACCATCTTGCAAAACCAGGTCTAACAATCTTCGAGTTATGTTGCCATTCAGGCAGCTTGATTAAATGAGGCGATAACACATTGTAGATAGAATTATAAATCATATAAACAATTGTTGTTTTTTTTTAATATAGGCAAGGCAGCGTTGATGTTGATTACGTGGTTGTCTTTAAGAACACATCTGTCACACCTGAAACTGCTAAAAATGCKCTCATTGTGGCCTTGCAAAACAGCACAAACAGCTCTGCAGGAGTATTTTCTGGTGTTAACATTACGAGTATTGCAGTCAAAGGTATTAAACGCGTGGTGATCAGATATATTGATTTGTTTAAATTTTTGTTTATTTTTTGATTAAGTGAAAATCATTCATTCGACTCTTATGACGTCAGGCACGGATAAGCAYACACACTCCGTGACGTATTCATTACCTTTTACATKCAGACCTTGATGAGTGTACGAGTGGTCTCCATGATTGCCATAGCAACGCCACGTGTTTGAATACGATTGGTGCATTTACATGTAAATGCCATGGTGGATTTAATGGAAACGGCAGAACGTGTTCAGGTACGGTCTTAGGGACGCTTTTAAAACACTCTTGCCTATTTAGTTTTTCAAAAGKGCTCCCTATGTTAATGAAATGCTGCCTAAATCTTTAGAAAGGAACAATTCACTACTTTCCATACAGAGGTCGAGTGACCACTAACAAAGCATTGAAGCGAGGCGTCAAGGTACACTGCGCACAGATCTTTTCTTTTATGCTCACTGTACCTTGACGCCTCGGTTCGATACTTTGTTCGTGGTTACTCGACCTCAGTATAGAAAGTCGTCAATATCGTGTTAACGAGAGGCTATATATCAACAGTTTGACTATAAGTGKAAAATTATTTAAACGATTCAGCGCTGATATATTCCATTACTAACTTAACAACGTATGCTTGTTTTGACAGATATCAATGAATGTTTGAACGCCAGTCTTCATAATTGCAGTTTAAGTAGACCAGGAGTTGTATGCATCAATAGTATAGGCAGCTACAGCTGCGGCTGCAACGAAGGCTACACCAAGGACATTATTGCAGGAGTATGCAACGGTATGTCGATGCCTGTTGTTCCACCCATATTATATATATCTWATGTGTTTTTTGTTCCTTAGTAACCAATTACTGCCTGGCAAAGGTGCATAACTGTCATCCCAATGCCACGTGTACAAATGTGGGCGACTACTTCACGTGTCGGTGTCAAAATGAATTGAATTATTATGGCAACGGAACGCACTGTTTTGGTGAGTCACACAACCGCCATTTTGTATAATATACAAATGCAAAACACGTTTTTTAAGAATTATATAGGACATGATCAACTTTAGTATACTAATCAATTAGCATCCATCAGCAGTGGACTGGATACTGAACTTTGATATATTCATGATAGAAAATGGTCACATCATAGCATCATAGCCTATTTGCTTTAACTCGTCATAKTTTCTTTTTACAATCAAGTCTATCTTCATTTCTTGTGCTTTTGTTGTAATGTGTGTTATTTTAGTTGGTGTTGTTTTGATGTTTTTGTAGCTGGATGTCCGGCAGGATTTTGTAAGAACAATGCTACGTGCATCCCAACAAATACCAAGAATTATTGCAAGTAAGTAAGCTACATCAATTTGTGAACCGTTATAAGGCGTTAATTGACTGATTGTAACATCTATTGTTGGGCATACAGACAGTTAATGTTATAGACCGGTAAATTCCAGGACTGTAATAGGAAATGGTCACTTGGAATAAAATCCGCTATACTGAATGGCAAAATACCCACTGGGATGTTCAAAACAAAGAARAGTCAAGTCTGACGGGCTGCGTCCCTTTTAATTTTTTTGTGGTTGTTTACATTCTTTTACCATCCAGTGTGGTGGATTTAGTAYCATGTGACCGTTTCATTCAAAAGGCCTATTATATTTGTATACCGTACCCAACTTAACGTTGGGTCAAGGGACTTAGTGATTGAGGGTTAAATTGTGTACAATAGTGCTGCAAGAGTGAGTCATCAAAAGTAATCAAATCAAATTATAAACAAAAACAATGACAGCAAAACGGCAATTATGAATTCATTATGCATGCATATAATATGTAAGGATTTGGAACCTTGACGGTTATTGCTTTACAGGTGCTCTCTAGGGTATCAGGGAGAATTTTGCGAGACAAAAATCGTGAAGGACACCAAGAAACCCAGAACGTTGTCTCCTAACTCTTCAGAAAAAAAGAACCGTAAGTAGATTGTTTATATCATTTTATGGTACATAATATCACATTTTCATGAAAATTAGGGTTTTTTGACCTCTCTCCAGTAATCCCAGTAAGGCWTTGACTTCCAAGTAAGGGGGTTAGTGTTCTCTGGAACCATCCCCTTCATACCTTATTGAGGTTGTTGCCTTGGATACAACGTAAAGTTTTACCTTTCAGAAACTCTGTTCTACATTTTGATAATGGTGTCAATATTAGCTGTGTTAGCTATCTTGGTCGCAGCTGTAGCGGTATTCTGTGTACGAAGACGGCGCTTATCAGTGTAAGTTATTTGAAAATTATTATTGTCATTCAGATTAGAATTATACAGATTGACTGTCTGATTAAACGAYTGGCTTGTTTTTGGTTGGYTGGTTGGTTCAATTGGTTGGTTCAATTGGTTGGTTAGTTTGTTTATTTGTTTGTTGGTTCAGTGGTGTTGGTTTGTTTGTTTGTTTAATTGTTTGGTTAGTTGGTTCCATTGTTTGGTTGGTTCCATTGGTTGGCTGGTTCAACTGGTTGGTTCCATTGGTTGGCTGGCTCAATTGGTTTGTTGGTTGGTTGCTTGGTTGGTTGCTTGGTTGCTTGGTTTCTCGTTCAGTTGGCGTTGGCCACTCAATTAACTGAGCTTAAAGCATGTACTCGTGATTTCAGATTTGCCAGAGATATCAATTTCAACGAAACACACCCTGCTGCAAATACCAAGCTTCGCTCCGTTCGAGAAAGAATCTCTATGGTTAGATCGCCCGTCTATCTTCCGAGCGAACAAGAGCTTGAAAGAAAAATATCTGGCAGAATGAGGGCAAGATCTGAAAACATAGATGCGCGTCATGCTGCCGAGCATCTTGAGGACATCCATAGGGAGCTATGCGAGGAAGGACAACCTGTCTTTGAGCAACGGGTGCCCGAGTCTGGTGTGGCGTTTGATGACTTGATAGAGAGTCGGGTAAGAAGAACTTCAAATCAATTAAATTATTATATAAATGTGGAATAAGGGACCAGGTGCAACTGTGGTCGCTATCCACCGTATGAATCCTAATCCAGCTGATAAAATCATATACAAAGTCTATTAGTATTTATTGGATACGTTTTATTCATCATTCTCCCTAGACTTCTCATTTTACTTGTGTAGAAGCTAAAAATCATATTTTTTTTGTGTGTGTTTTAGTATAATTCTGCAGTTGTCCCGTAAGAAGTGTCTTCATAAAGAGCTCAAGTTCTACCACACCTGATGTAAAAATTCGATGTCCTGAATCMTTCAATCTAAACTCAATAATAGCAACCAATCATAGATTAGCGAGTGAAACTGAAATGGTCGCCATCTTGATTTATGTACAATTGACCTATTTCATTATGACGTCACATCAAAACATTGTATTGTTTTGACACTAAGGATTATGGTCACCACAGGGGATCAGGCTGACTGCATATCATGTACATCAGCAATCATTTATACATGATATATATCAAGACACGATTCACTGAAGTTTTACTTTAGGAGACAATATAAATATATATAGTCTCCTAAAGTAAAACTTCTATAAATGGTCCAAATTTCCTTTGTTTTTGAACATCCGATGTAAATATACTATAACGTCATAATCAAATAGGGCAATTCTTATGGAAGTACTTTCCGCGAGACTTGATGACGCGTTTAGATGATTCATAGAAACTATAATGGCGGCCGTGCAGTTAAAACCGAGTTCTGTCATGAACAAAAATTTAAAAAATTCTACAAAAATTTATGTATAATATTATGTAAACAAAAATGTAATTGAATATGATAAAAATTAAATATTCGTTTTGTGTAAATCATCTTGTTATTACTTCTACTTGTTGTTGATTTGAAATGTGAAGGTGGCTTATCTCAGCACTAACGTAACCCTAAACGAATTTCTACACAGCATCAATGATTTGACTTCTACTTCTGCATTTTTTTAAAGATTCAAACCTATTTGGCTTTCCACGGGAACTCTGTATTCCCCCCACCCCACCCCCCTCAAATACGGCTCTACTTAGCGGTTGGTTCATAGGTGAAATGAGAAGTTCCACTTTTTATCTCATATATGTTTATTTACTTTCTATTTTCAGTTTGCAAATGAGTTTATAACTATTGTTACTATGCCATATGGGGTAATGGTTTAATGTTGCAAGGCCAACAACTAGCTGATTATCTAAACAGCCCTCACAAATTGGTTTGCCTTCCACGCTCCAAATCKTTTTCAAGTTTTGAACACTTTTAACTATTAAAATAGTTATGTTAGCATTCTACGATTCAAAAAATTCAAAAAGACGGATTTTTCCCGCACAGGTAGGCAAAATAATTTGTGAACATTGTTTAAATATATAGGACTGTAGTTGACTAACGAAACAAATTGACATTACAAACACAACGCTAGTAGCCCAAGTAATTAAACTGATACACGTGTTAAAAATCGTAACTATACAAGCATTTTTGTTGCGAAGCGAGCGAGGTAATTAAATTTAAAAGAGGCAAATTTCGCTTTCTGCAAATTAGGGCGTATACATTTTTTTCGCGAAATTTGAGTTATTGGCGTAGTCGGATGTCACACGACAAATACAATCCCTACATCTTTTTATTAATCAATTTTGTTTTGTTTAACTATATAAATTACAAATAGAACTATCGATCGTTAAAACTCTTGCACATTTCTTAGAAATTTTTGCGCGTGCTGTATTCATCGAATTAAAAATCATAAAATATATAAGTCCTAATATACTCGAATCATATTACTTCTTGCCTCGACAACATGCTGGAGCACATTGTGGGGCACATCCCATGGATGGTCCCATAGGCATTGGGGGTGGTGGTGCTGGTGGTGGACAGCACATCATCATTGGAGGTGGTGGTGGTGGTGGTGGTGGKGGTGGGGGTGGTGGYGGCATACCACCTCCTCCTCCTCCTCCTGCTCCTGCGTGGCAGCATCCCATAGGGCAAATCTTCATACAATGATGGATACAAATTGGAGCGCAAGGTGGAGGTGCAGGTGCCGGGGCACCGGGTGCACCTGGTGGTCCTGGTGGTCCCATTGGTCCCATTGGCCCCCCTGGTCCCATTGGTCCCATTGGTCCATTCATTCCTCGGTACCCAGATGCTCCTGAGGGTCCCATACAACCAGGTGATCCAGGRGGTCCAGGAGGTCCAGGTGGTCCAGGTGGTCCTGGCATTGGTGCTGGTGGTGGTGCTGCTGCTCCACCGCCTCCGCCCATTGGCATGCACATCATTGGTGCTGGTGCTGGGGCAACAGGTGCCATCATTGCGCCGCCGCCTCCACCGCCTCCACAACACATTGAAGGACACGAAGGAGCACACATTCCTGCAGAACAGTCCATTCCACAAGGGCTTGCACTACGCTTTTCTATTAGATCTGAAAAGAACATCGCACAAACATAAACATAAATATAGAGCTTCAAACGGTAGGAATTCAAGACCAAAGGTCGGCCTTCGGTGAGGCAAACCCGATTAAAGACTTCTTAAAATAAGAGATAAACGAAGAATTCAAATCAATTTTTACAAGCAATCTATATTCACATCAAATATACGTAGAAGAAAGGTTTGACTATCGGTTTTTAATATGTCGAAACGTCCTAATAAAACAAAGATAGAAAGCTGGTGTATTTGTATTCGTACATTATTTTACTTTTACGATTCAGTTTTAATATTTCTAAACTTGATTTAACACTTTTCGACTTGTTTGTGTATAACATTTTCGACTTGCATATACCTACATACAAGCATRAATATTAAGTTCATGGCAACAACTGTAAACATTAAATAAAAACTGGAAGGTTTTCAAGGTTTGAAAAATTTTCAAAGGTCTTTCCTCGAAATACAGAACCTTCATAAAGCAATGGAAAAAGGGTGCGGCAAATTTCATATCGATTGCTCTTTCGCGGATTTCCTTTGYGCCTATTGACTCAGTCTGTCTTAATATTTTGGAAAGGTAMTATCGCAGTAAAATCACTCTTGCAACCAGCAAAACTGGTACTATGATACACTGTTTACACTGCTACGGTAGCATTTCCAAGCCATCTTGAACGGTAGTCAATCCACTAAACTCATGATGATATATACTTGTGATACGTTAAACAACAGTTGCACATTTTTCTCATAGTTACCAGATCACTTCATGCTTGGTTTAAGGCTGGGTTACCTTTCAAAATGGCGCGACAGGAAATAATAGAAGTAATTTYCCATCAATTCTCTTTAAGTGGATTTTTGATGATATTACCTTTATCTTTAATCTCTTTTTGTAGTTTGATAACTTTACCATGGTAATCATAAGCGACCATAACTACGAAGATAATAAAAACAAATCAGATATATACACAATTCGTCGTTTTCACTTTACGTCACAGCAGCCATCTTGAAGGAACTTCAACAAAAGATTTCTCATTAGTATCTATTGTTCATTCCTCCAACATGGCCGCCAGTCTTTTATCTTTTGAATCTCATGGGAATGGTTGAAAACGATCAACTGCTATCGTTTTCAATGGAGGAAAAGTGTTATACTAGAAATTACAATCGTCTTCATGAAAAATTCAAAGTGGCAGATTCAAATCCATGAATTCAAATTAAATTATTTTTAAAAAGTAAAGTCAACATATAGCCTGGTACACCTTAGTAGAAGTGGAGAATTCCATTGTTTTCTKTCAATGGTGTCCATTCGACTGTTGCAATTTGATTATCAGGTTTTGATTCAAGTTTATTTTTGTAAATCGTTTCATAGCTTCCTAGTGATAACTCTTAGTCACGTAGAAAGAAAACAGCCCAATAAAAATGGCATTAAATACCTTTTAAAGTCAAAGAAAATGTTAGGGTAAAAATGCAAAAAAGTGTATTCCACGGGTTTACAAAAAGCTATAATCCACTTCCACAAAATTCTGCACTAAACACTTCTTTGTTGTCTTTATTCCATAATGAACATTCTCTATCTTTAAAGCGTTATTGCAATGGTATTACGTTAAAATCTATCGATTCAAAACARAATCACTAACTCTTTGAATGATTTTAGAACTACAGCATTTGAAAAATAATGACATTTGATATCAAACAACTCTAAAACAAACATTTTTTGTCAATGGGAAGACAAAATACGCCAAGGTTATGTTTATTAATAATTCACAACGTTACTATGACTACATCAATGGGGGGTGGGGTACGTACCTTTTCTTGCCTCATAGGAGGCGACTACAAGGGCCGTCCACAATAAAAAAGTTCTGAAAATCATTGTTATCTAAAACAGCAAAATAAACTAGTATAAGAAATTGATAGGCGAAGCAAATGTCCGGTATTTTCTCGGTTGTTTGGTAATACCTGGAGTGCAATACAGGTCATTTGCACGTTTCATCAATTTTACATCACATCAGTGAAACTAAAGTCAAGCTAGTTTACCTTGACCAAAAATATTTTGAAAAAAGTTAGACAAAATAATTTGTCACAATTAAAACGTTTTAGGAATATTACGAGGTTGATTTTGTTGACGAACCAATGGTGTAGATAACCTATTTGTCTAGCTCTAACCCCCGTGTTAAAACAACACAATGAAAATAAAGCAAATACTAATCAAATTAAAATTCCTTATTGTATCATTAGTCAACCTGTAAGATAATATTTCAGTCATGTCATATTCGGTTCAAAATAAAATTAACCACAAAAAMGAAATTCAGAAATATACATGTCCTACCAACCTGAGATGCTTCTGCGCCCTTGAACAGTGAATTTGATTTCTCTAAGCACCCCAAAAAGGAATATCCTCCTATGAATTATTAATTAAATCTGACATTTTGATCTGAGCAATAATTTTGCTTTGTGTTCTAGTCCATGCAATGACGTCAGATCTAATTAGATTCCTCTTTCTGATTGGTTCACTGAAGTGGCAGGAATGGTTCGAGGCCATTTTTTGGTTGATTTGGWCCGATACTCTTTGTGTGTAAAAATGACTTTCCAAAGAAAAACAAATTTTCATTCACTGAGTGACACAAAAACAAAAGCAATGTACAATATTTGATTTGCTTTGACTCGCGGCCATTTTGAAACCTTTGACACATGACATTCACCCGTTGTATTCATGCAAAATTCATAAGAATCCACGCTTGAACGTTTTTGCACTATCCCAAGGATGTTTATTGCTGAAAATCGAAAATATTATTTCAGCTGAAGTATTTTAAAGGCAAAAATAAAGTTTAAAGAAATTTAAGTTAAATTAGTCGCCATCTTGAAATGTCATGCTTTGTAGAGCGAAACAAAGCTACCTGTTGCCTACCAATGATTTTCACTCAGCTGAAATGATCTTCGAGTGAGGTTGTTCAGCCATAAATTGTGTAATTGTAGGTGACAAATCATTAATAAATAATTTCAACCTGAATTAATATCAGAAAAGTTGAAACCGCATTGAACAGTTTGAAGAGCAACTCTACAAGAACAAAAAGGCGTGCAAGGTGAGTTTTTAACTTCAAGCCCCTAATACTTGAAATCATAAGTGTGGCTCACTAAATAYGTAACAATTGACCGTYGACTGTGCACTGCCATCGTTTATTATTTGTTTACCATGTCGTCATTAGTTCACGAGACCAACTTCAAAGAAAAGAAACAGTCTTGTTGAGTCTAAGTGTGATTAGTTATCATAGCGGAAAATTACAAAGAAACTTTTCAAATAATACATATTAATTAATAACCCTTAGTAAGGTGACTTCATAAACTTTCACTTAGTGAAGTGACTTTTATCACCATTTAACTTTAAGTGAAATTTGATTTTTTTTCTACCATTTTTGAGAAGCATCGAGAAGATTCGAAGAAATGACATTTCTGCGTCTTTGCACCAAACTCAAATTGAAGAAAAAATCAGTATTTGTTTGTCAAATGATTTCTTTTTTTCTCCCTTTCTATTGTTTGACGATAACTGTGTTACTAGTGCTGTATTATATACATTATATATATACATTTTTGAACCACTAGTAAGTAGTAATGGTCAAGATTCAGCTAAGTCTCTTGACCAACAGTGGACAAACAATACTTTTGTTAGAGAAGCTACTAAAATATGACCTTCACAACAGTTAGCGGCATATGCCCGAGACAATTGCTGTGCTGTACTGATATAGGTTCAATTATAACATAGTTGGACTACATACAGTTTGAATCTACATAACAAATTTATAAGAAAATTCATCAGTGAAACTCCATCAAATACCGAAATTTAAGTTGATTTTTTGGAGACGAGACAGACAACCACTCGTTATAACCAGACACTTCGACTACGAATATACAAACATTACTAATATTTAATTCTGCTTCATTCATCTTGAAGTGTTCTGACAATACAACAAGACATTACATTTTGACAGTAAAGTCTTGTCAATAAAATCAAATCTCAAAGGTCTTAGAAGTGGCCATCTTCCCAAAATTCAAAAAGACAATTAACAGAGGAATTAATTGTGAATCTTGGCTGATATTTTCATATATTCACTAAGAAAGAGTAGAATAGAAATTATCGATATTTATATAATACAAATTACCGATATCAACGAGAGAATTTCTAGAAATTCCTTATTGTTGGTAATTTCCTAGAATCTGAGGTAAACGTGCAAAATGACACGAGTTGTTTTGTTGCACACGCGCGCTCCTCTTTTTCATGCCACAATAGAAAAAATGTATATCTGGCGTACCAGTCTGTGAAAGTCACAATCATTGTTATATTTTTTTCACTTTTGACACGCGCTCTACTTAATTTTCCTGCCACAAAAGAAAAAAAAAGGAAAGAAAGAAAGGAAAAAGAAAAAAAATGAAAAGAAAAAAGTGCACACCCGCCATACCAGTCAGTGATGTCATGTCTGAGAATAAAAACAATTGTTGTATTTTCATCCTTTTTATTTTGATTTCATTTCAGATACAATGCGTYTCACAGTGTTAGCATGTCTTTTCGTCATTGCCTATGGCAAACCAAACACAGGTAACACACTYGCTTACACTACTATCTGCATCTGGTTGTAGATTCTTATTATAATTATAAACTTTCAAGTAATGTTTATGGAAGTTGTGACAAACCGTCATATAATACTTAGAGTTTTAGAATCACTTTTACCAGCGTCAAACCTAATCACGTGATCACTGTTTTCCTGTATTAACCCTAAGTTTCTTTGCGTTGGTATATAGATTCGTCCCTTTTCTCGTACACAAGCCCATCTGACTATCCCTTTCGTAACGATTTTTTAAAAACTTAAAGCCAATTTCATTTGTTTGCGTAAATGTTTATCGTAGCCAAACAAATGCATATTGTCCAAAATTGTAGATATCATATTAGTTCTCGTATTTTGCACAATCCACACTCACTAAATAAAACCACTACAAGACTATCATCGACATTAGATATGTATATGTGAACTGAAACAAACAATGATTTTACTAGGCTTACAGAAACGTAGTGCCAACCCATGYGGGATGAGTTGTCCAATGTCATGCGCTCCTGCATGTACTACATWTTGCTGTTCACCACCACCACCACCRCCGCCTCCTCCACCACCAGTTATGTGCTGYCCACCACCGCCACCCCCGCCATGCCCGACACCATGTCCAATTCCAGGGCCACCAGGGCCACCTGGATGCATGGGACCACCAGGACCTCCTGGATGCACTGGACTAACTGGATGTCCAGGACCAATTGGATGTCCAGGACCAGTTGGACCAGTGGGACCTATGGGACCACCGGGATGCCCCGGTGCTCCTGCACCACCTGCACCTCAATGTCCACCAATCTGTATTCACCACTGCATGAAGATTTGTCCATTGCCATGCTGTCGACCTGCTCCTCCTCCAGCACCATGTCCCATTCCATGTCCCATACCATGTCCAGCTCCTCCTCCGGTGACCATCTGTCCACAACCWTGTCCACCGCACATGGGCAAAAAGTAGAGATATCAATGACAAGAAAGAAATGTTGTTGAGCAGTTCGAAGATATTAAGTAGAACAGCAATAGTTTGTTAGTTTTATTTAAGGATTATAACAGTAAATATATATATCGTACACATTGTACATTGTACTACCAAGGGAAGTGAGATATAAGAGGAAGTTTAGCCTGATACAAAATGGAGCGAAGATATAAAACTCGTGAAAAAATTAAGAATTTGCGAATAAATCAAGTTAAACAGACACTCAAATAATTTAAAGTTAACGAAATAAAATACTTTTGTGCGATTCTATCATTGTATAACATATCTATGATTCATAATATTATAAATTTCAATCTATGATGAAYTTAAGGAACTTTTCTCTTATGCAACACTTTCTCTTATAATCAATCGTTGATGTATGACTACATATGTGAAATTGTAACAAAAGTTAAAATAAAATCATAGATAAACGTTGCGCTTTTGTTCGATTGTTTGGAAATTATCATTGCATAACTCGGATCGGGCTCACTTTTTTATCATAAAATACATCTTCAATATTAAAGCACAGATTCTAGCATCAATACCGGTTTAACCTGTACAAAACYAGTATCTACGCATTTGTTTATCCAGAGCGTTTGTGACAGGATAACAAATGAAAGAAATACACTGACTTCGACAGCGTCCTTTATTCATAGAGAAATATGGAGGTAAGGGAAATTCACTTGACGAGCCTGTTGTCTCCAGTTAAAAAAAAATCAAAAATATATATCTATATAATATGGAAACAGTTACTTTTTAGTTTACGCTATAATTTTTATGGTCTGACGATTACGTATTTGAAGATTTTGAATGTTACCAAATATCGCTTGCGCAAAAGACATAGCATTCTTGAAAGGCGCATCACAAAGCAACAAGAAGTAAAATGCTGTAAT